CCCCCCCCCCGCGATTTTTGCTATCATGTGCATGTGTGGTTTTTGAATCAAGTTCTCACGGGACAAGATGTGGATTGGCAGCGTCTCCCACGACAACAACATCCGGTTCTGGCACGCTGGGTACCTCTTCGAGGACGACGGCGACGACGATGAGGAAGAAGAGGCGGAGCAGTCCGCCGATGCGAGCAGCAACCATGCTACCAGGGGGGCAGGACAAGATGGAAGGGGAGGTAAGCAGGCGGACAACCCTTGGTTGTTTGTCGGCTCTTGCCAGAGCTGGTGAAGGGGCGGCTCGGAATTTCCAGCATATGGACCGGGGTATATATTGCCGCTTTAACGTACGCGTGACACGTGTGGGGAAGTTAAGAGAGTTGGCGGTTGGAGGCTTTTTGGTGTCGGCTGTTAGAAGTGCGATATCTCGTCTGTACAAAAGGCGCGGAAGGTAAAAACAACGCAGCGGGACCTGCTGCATGTATTCTGGGTACGGCACTAGTGTTCCCTGTTATGTAGCTCCCAACGGATTATTTACAGCCGCAACCGAGAGCCCCCCCCTCCCCATATCTCCGGCGGTAGTAGTCCTTGCATACGGCCGGGGTGAAAATCGCGTGACACCGACGGAATATTGAAGCTGTGGCCTGCCTCGTAAATCTGCATCGTGACGGGCTCCCGGGTATAAAAGGCAAAATCTGCGGCCTTATGTACGGGGACCACTGTATGGTTTAGTGCGAAGCGTAACTAGCTCGGACCCCGAGTTAAGAACAGACGGCTCCTGCGTCCGACGAGGCCGACCGATGGTCTACGACAGTATACGCACACAGCAGTCGCAGCTGCATGCCTCATTCTTTTGTATCGATGATGGTTTCCCCTTTGAAGCTTTCTGGCCCTCCCCCCCCCCCCGTCCTCTCTAGGACGCGTGGTCAATGGTCTAGCAGATGAGATGTGCAAAACATGAACACGCGCCCCCCTCCGAGAACGTTGGCGAAGATTCAGGAAAGTAGACGATGAAGACGACAAGTTCAAATGTGATCGCGGCTCCGAGTGCGAAGACGGGGTTCATGTTAATAGTTGGGGAATGTCCGTTGCACAAGAGGGAGACTAAAGTGTACATGACTGAGCTGGGAAAAGTAGAAGGTACAGGGAGATGTTTGAGGCATGGGATAGCCAGGAGAAGACTGTAGCTGTCCTGGGGCGTAAGAAGTGGGTTGAAAGGCGGGAAGTGATATCGATCGGATAGGTAGGCTACGGAAGACATTTTTGAGCCACCCTTGGCGAAGCAGGAGGGAACGATTGGCCATCGGTGATCGGTCCTGTTGGAACAATGCTCCGTCCTCTCGAGGACGCGTGGTCACTGGTCTAACCGCTAAGGCGTGCAAAACATAAGAGTACGCCCCCCGCCTGTCCTCCCTTTCTTGCAGCACCAGCAGCCGACAACCCCGACATGGATACTGATTCAGACGGGCACGGGGGCAACGGCGGCGGGAACGGCGCCGGAGGGGCCAACGACGGAGATGATGACAGCGACGAAGAAGACAGCGACGACAGCGACATGGGTGGTGGTGGGAGCGGGGGGGCAAAGGGGGGAAGGAAAGGCGGTGGCGGTGGTGGTGACGGCGGCGGCGGAGGCGGGCCGGGCAAGCTTCCGACGGCGAATGAGGCGTTCTTTGCGGACTTATAGGGAGGTTGTCTGGTTTTAACCGTTTTGTTTTTTGTGTCTACTGTGTGTGCTGTGCGCCCCTCCCATGTCAAGCATAGTTCCCGCCGTTTTGAGAATGCCAGTGTTTTTTCTTAGAGGAGTGGCCAAAATCGGGTACACCCGGCCCCAATCCGGCCATTAGCACTTGTTTTACACAGTCGGCAGCGCCCTCCTGGCGCCATCTGATTGGCTGACGCCCGCCCCTACCCGGCCCTGACCCTAGTCCCACCGGGTGCACCCGATCTTGGCTACAGCGCGCTGCCGACTGCTGTAAAACAAGTGTACCCGATTTTGGCCCCTCCTCTTTTTTTTAAGAGTGCAATACGCCCAATACACCAAGTAAACTCAGCCGGTGGCTGGGCGAGTGGAGCCTTCTCACGTTAAGCTGTATGTGGAGGGGGAGCGGTGGGCTTTGTGCATTGTCGAAATATCTTACATCGATCTCGTTCGTCGGCAATGTCACCTGCTGCGAAGTCTGTTGGCGACAAGCTTCTCGTTCTGTAGTTGTGGCGTGTTTTCGTTGATTTTTAATTTCTGTTTCTTTTCGATCATTTAGTTTGTCTTTGATCGTTGGGACTATTGCACCCCCTCTGGGCTGGTTAAACTGTGACGATGGAAGGTGCCCGCGTCTGTTGGACCAAGCATAGAAGGGTCGGTCGAGCAGAGATCGGAGATCGGAAACGGTTTCTTCTGAGCAGGGAGCGACAACACACCAACATCATCGATGTCCACAATAACAATCCTCGGACGGCGTTATTTATTCCTCCTTAATCCTCGGACAGCGTTACTTCGGCCTAGCTAATTTGCTACCGCGATGACGCCACCGCCCCTCCCAACGATGTTTCACTATCACCTCCCCTGGATACGAAAAAATTGTCGAGGACTCTCTTGGTGGCGCCACGCCCACGTATTTCTCGAGCGGCACGGGGGGCAAGAAAGAAGGTAGTGGTTGTCAGTGCAACAGCAGTATTAATAGTGCAGTATGAAGATACATCCCTTTCTCGCGCTCGTCTCCTATTCGGGGCCTTTTCGCCGTAGCCACAACCCGCACACGCCCCCCCATGGCGCGGGACAAACAAAAGAACCTGAAACAAGAGCAAGTTGGGAGACAGCCCTGACCGGGACGCTTCTCGGAAAACGTAACAAATGTGGCAGGATGGTATGCTATTGGCGGCCATTTGTGGGCGTACCGGTATATGAGCGTTTTCGTAGGTGCTCCGTGGAGTAGCCGCCCTTGCCGTCGTGGAGAAAGCGTCATCGTAACGTCGCACGGGGGGGAGATACTTACTTCTGATGTTCATGGCGTTCTTCTAGACGTGGCAAGGCGAAGCGTTTTCTCTGCAGGGAGGTGTGGTGCGCATGAAACGGTGCGGACGTTTGATTCCCCAGCGCCTTGCCATGTCGTTCGTGGACCACTTATATATACTACTAAATAATGTAATCTAAATACCTCCGAGAGGCTTCTTCCTACATTGTTGTTGTTGTTGTTGTTGTGGTTGCTGCTGACTTCGCATTAAATACCGTTCCGATCTTCATCACGGGCCAGAGAAAATGAGGCACACCACCTTGGTTCAATCTTGGTACTTCACAACGCAAGCAGAGACAAGTCCACCTGACACAGACAAAGATAGGAAATAAAAGAGAAAAAGAGAAAAATAAAAGGAAACAGGAAGGAAAGAGAGAAGAAAACGAAAGAGAGCGAGGACAAAAAGGGACCAGGCCGAAAATAACAAAAAATAAGAGACAGAAAAAGGCACACGCTGGAGAGACCACTAACGAACAAGCAAACACGCAAACATGGCCAACAACCAGCGATACANCGCCCGACGCGATACCGCCCTGAAACAGTTTGAGCAGAAATAGCCAATCTGGGCAAATCTAGCAACTTGTCTAGCTCCTCGCTGCAGCATCCGATGACGATGACACGCATATGCTCGCGAAGCTGCTGATGAGACCTTCAATTTGCACCGCTTCTTGGAATAGCCCGTCCCCTACTTGCCAAGAAATGGCAAGAGGCGTCTGGACCCGAAATTTCAATTTTTTTGGCTCCCGCTCTCAATCGTATACTCCGCTCTCAATCAGGCGAAAACCGAAAACCCTGT